TCCATGAAAGCTTATGCTCTAATGAATTTGTTAGTCTCTAAGGTGCCACAAGTACTCCTGTTCTTTTTGTGGATTCAGACTAACACAGCTGCTACTCTGAAACCTTTTGTTACTTGTTTGCTTAGGGCCTAGCATACTAGGGCCCTGATCCTTGAATGGGGTTCCTAGGCACAATAACAATCATCGATGATTTCTCATGGGAAAGGATCTGAGCACAGAAGAGAAAATGAGCCCATCTGTTAATTGTCAGAATGAGTGGTGTGTCAACAGCAGGAAAGACCCTTTCTAAACAAAGAAGGTAACTTGTTTCTGGTCCTTCTCTGTCATAGGGTGAACCTGGTTTGCCTGGACCTCAGGGTGAATCTGGAATAGCAGGAGAAATTGTAAGTGATCAGTCTCTCTCTTTCTGTGCTTGTCACTGGAAGCTTCTAAATGCTGTAGAGAATCTGAAGCCAGAAGTAACAGCTGGTTTTGCATTTCAGAGGGATGCTAGTGGGAGTGATGAGGATGGTGGCTCTGGTGATCCAGGAGAGACGGTATGAGATGGCAATTTATTGCAAGTAGTTCGTATCTGTCAGGCTTTGTCTTTTTGCACTGTCTATATAAAGCTGAAAAATGAGGTCCAACAATGTGAATGCTGTAAATAACCATGTTCCCATGGCACCAGGTGTTCAGTCATAACTTTTAGCTGTGTAATGTTAAGCCAACTCTCTTTTCATGTTTAAGTTCCTGTCTTCCTCTGTTTGAATTTCTTTAAAAGCAACAATTAAAATCTAACATTTGTTCTTACTATCCCAGGATTCTTTTGTTTTCCCCATTTTATCATAGAAATGTAGGGCTGGAAGGGACCTGAAGAGGTCATCTAGTCCATCCCCACACAAGAAGGCAGGAGTAACTCTACCAAGACCTTCCCTGACAGCTGTTTATCTAACTCTAACCTGTCTTTAAAACCTCCAATTACTCCTTGTCAACCTATTACAGAACTTAACTATCCCTATAGTTAGAAAGCTTTTTCTAATATCTAACCTAAATCTGTTTATCTCTTTGTAACAGCCCTTAACATATGTCAAGACTATCATCAGGTCCCTCCTCATTCTTCTTGTCTCAAGAGTAAACAAACCCAGTTTTCTTAACCTTTCTTCATGTGTCATATTTTCAAAACTTTTATTGTTTTTGTTGCTCTCCTCTGGACTCTCTCCAATATGTCCGCATCTTCCTTAAGGTGTGGCACACAAAACTGGACACAATTCTCCACTGAGGCCTCCCCAATGCTGAATAGAGTGGAACAATTACCTCCTGTGTCTTATGTACGACTTTCTTGTTGATACACCCCCGGAATGATATGAAGCTTTTACACACCTGCATCACATTGTTGACTCATTCACTTTGTGATCCACTACACCCCCAGAGGTACTTTTCAGCAGTACCTCTGCCTAGCTAGTTATTCTCCATTTTGTAGTTGTGCATTGGATTTTTCCTTCGTAAGTGTAGTACTTTGCCCTGGTCTTTATTGAATTTTATCATTTTCCATTACTCTAATTTAGAATCACAGTAAGCAGTATCATGGCACTTGCTTGACTAGTGTGGGGAAAAACAACAGTCCTTAGTTCCTGGGATGCTAGTGTATCTTCGGTATAAGCAACAAGCTTGGGCTAAAATAGGGCTTCGGCTTGAATAGACCCCCAAATTCTATTCCCCTCAATTTACTGGGACTGTGATACATCTATAACTGGGACATAACTATGACAGGGCCACAGATGCCTAAAGGAGCTCACTATTCCAGGCCTCCTCCACAGACCAACAGGAGCACCACACAGGAATGTCCCTGCTTGAACCATTTTGTGTTCGCTGTGCTCAGAGAGCCTGAGTTAGGGTTACCATATTTCAACAAGCAAAAAAGAGGAGGGGGGGAGCCCCGCCCTAGCCCCGCCCCTGCCCCTCCCA